ATGATTATGATGATGATGATGATGATGATGATGATGCTGATGAGAATTGAGAACTGAGAACTGGTGCGAAGCAGCGAGTAGATATTGCTCTGTGTAGCTGCATCATTCGTCGTTATCGGACATGAAAATTTTATTAATCGTTTCGCTCTCTGTAATTTCCCTCTGCAAATTGTTGGTCTAGTAGCATGTTAAAAATAGACACTGTGTTCCATTATATTAGATGCTGCGGAAGGACATTCCAGAAATTCACCACTCTGCGTTCGAAAAAGAGTTGATGGGCGAAAAGCTTCAAATCAGGGACGATAAGTTTATACCGGTGTCCTCGCGTTCAGCTTGGTGTGCGCAGATGAAGTAGTTGTCGCAACATCGGGTAATCACTCAGATGTAATATCCGGTGCGTCATGCTGAGGTCAACCCTCAGCCGACGATAAGATAGGGTGTATAACCCTAGTTTCTTACATCGGTCTTCGTATGGCATACCTCGTAAGTTGGGAATCAGCCTGGTGGCTACATGCTGCACCCGCTCAAGCTTTTCTACCTCGAACAGCGTGATGGGACAATACGCGGGAGAGTCGTACTCTAGCATTGGTCGTATTATCGAGACGAAGAGGCGAGAAGCATTCTCTTCGGACCAAGTGTTAAAGATGCGCCTGTGAGCCCAAAGGATCCGAAGGCTGTTTTGGTACAGCCTATTCGTGTTGTCAATGGAATTTACGTCGCAGCGTGAGAGCACACTGAGGTTGCGCACGAAGAGGACGCGAATGCAACGGTTGATCAGCCACTGTGTACGTTCGGCTGTGCTCAAATTACCCAACCTCCTAAATTGCGACTTGGCAGGGTTGATCGAAAGGTTAAAAGCTGCAGACCATGTCGAAAGCCGACCGAGGTCCTGCTGAAGTAAATCACAATCATTGAGTGTGCGGATTACTCTCCACACCTTCAGGTAATCTGCGAACAAAGCACAAGATGACTGATGCAGCTGAGGCACATAGTTTATATGGATTAGAAACAACATCGGTCCCAGTACAGTGCCTTGCGACACGCCGCTGCTCGATGGATAACAGTCCGTTAGATGGTTGTCCACCTGGACTATCCACTTCTGATGAATAGGAAAATTACTGATCCATTTGTGTAGCGGACCACTAACACCGCACATCCTCAGTCTGTCAACCAGCACTGCATGGTTGACCTTGTCAAAAGCCTTACTGAAGTCAATGTAAACGACGTCGACCGAATAGGCTTTGTTCAGCGCTTGTAAGCCATTCGTGCCTCGTCAACAGTAGGTTGGTGATGCACGAGCGACCTTTCATGAAACCATGCTGTGCGGAGGTTAACAGGTTTTTCGACTCGAGAAGTTGCAGAAGGCTCTTCTTCACGATCTTCTCGAGCGTCTTTGCCAAAACAGCAGTCAGGCAGATCGGCCGGTAGTTATCCACTTTACTTGGGTTACCACCTTTCGGTATAGGCTTTACGACTGAGCATTTCCAGTCGTCTGGTAACAGTCCAGTAGACATTGACCTGTTAAACAGTTCAGTTACAGAAGGTGCGATTATGGTCGATAATGACTTGACGATTAGTGGGTGTATACCATCTGGCCCAGCAGGTTTCGTCCCGTCAAGATTTGCTAGAAGCTTGCGTACATCCTCAATATCGCAGTCCAGGCTGTTAAGTTCGACTGGAGCGGTACTCGTCGAACTCATTAAAGACACCTGGTCACTTGCGTATACGGAGGCGAAGTGCGTCGCTAATGCGAACGCACGATCTGTACTCGAGGTTAGGGTCTATCCATCGGAGCCTTCTAATATTGGGATATTGGCTACAGGCCTCAGGCGCCGCTTCATATATGCGAAGATCCTCTTGGGAGCAGTTTTGAGGCAGTTGCAAGCTCCTCTTCGAAGCTTCTGCGTTTTCTTGTTTTCGCGTTGTTGCAGCGATTTCGCTGTACCTTGTACGCATTGTAGTCCTCATCAGAGCCAGATAACACGAACTTGTTCCATAGTCTGCGTCGCCGTCGGGCCAGTTTGTTGTACTCTTTGTCGAACCAATGTGGTTTGACTGGCCCAACGTTTCGAAATTTGAGGGGTACAAATCGGGCGCACAACGATTTCACTCCCTCTTTAATGATAGTCCAACAGGTTTCAATAGATGAATCCTGTGGTAAAGACCAGTCAATCTGGCTCGCTGCTCGAATGAGGCCATTAAAGTCCGCCTTCCAATAGTTGAAGGCTGGCTCCAGTGGGGGTAGTTCCAAGCTACCTGTGATCATCGAGTGGTCGCTCGCTCCCAGAGGCTCTAAGACTTGAATTTTATGCACACGCTGCTCACAGCTAGTCAAAAGCAGGTCTAAGTATGATGGAGTCGCGCGCGCAGTAATGCGTGTCGGTTGGTTTATGTGCTGTGTGGCCCCGGTTTCAAATAGCAACTCCGTAAACTTCATCTCGACTTCACAGTGGCCGGGGAGAAGTTCAGCTTCAGGTCATTGTATTCGGGGCAAGTTGAAATCGCCCATGAGTAGGAACATCTGTCGACTCATGTGGTTGCGGACATGTGGCAACCAGTCCAAACAGCGGTTCAGTGGACTGTGATATACCACGCCCACGAGCAACTAGCAGTGTCTGAAGTGAATCGAACACCATAACTGCTCACATAGACCATCAGCGCTTTGGTAGGCGCTCACTAGTCTCCCACACAAGGAAGACTTTATGTAAAGCAGAACGCCACCGCGATCATTTGATGGTCTATCACAGCGGAAGCATGAGTAACCGGTGATTTCCACTTCTTGGGCGGTTACCTCGGAGTTTAACCATGTCTCAGCAAGGTCTAATACGTCTGGTCGCTGAGAGCTTACAAAGTCGTGCAGCACATCGCGCTTGTTCATCAG